ATGGTAAAACGGCAGCTGGTTTTCTCTTGAGAGATAATGCCGGAGCAGCGATTGCAGCGGATGGATACCCCTTGAGTTGTTCGTCTGAGATGGAGGACGAGGAAGAACTGAAAATATTCAGACAGGCTTTGGAGTGGGTAGCGTCTCTTTGCGTTCAGCAGGTGGAAATTGATGTTTGGACGGAGAAGCTAATGGGGCGGTGTAGTTACTTGGCAGCCCAATATCCTTTTGTATCTCGCCTTGGGCTCTTCCCGAGTCAAACGAACAAGGCTGCAGTTCAGGTAGCTAAGCTGGGCTATTTTTCTACCTTCATTTGGCGACTTGGTGAACCAATGCCCAAAGAGCTTAGAGGAAATATCTATTTGGACTCGATCTCAGTTCCGCATATTATTTAGTAGCTAATTGCATTTTGAGTAGGTATGCTTTCTTTGAAGAGGTATTGGTATAGCCCCCCTCTTCTTTTGTGCTCTCTTCGAATTTTAATAAAATACTGAATTGAAAAAAAAAAAAAAAAAAAAAATACATATACATATACATATACATATACATATACATATACATATACATATACATATACATATACATATACATATACATATACATGTGTATTAGTACATATTATATCAAAATAATAATACATAATAACTAGAAAATGGAACACATATGTATATATATATATATATATATATATATATATATATATATATATATATATATATATATATGTACCATATACATAATTAATTGTATTATAATTGATGAGAAATTCGTAATGACATACATGATGATAATTGGGTAGGGCCCGGGACCGGCCCGGGAGTCCACCGGTACCGGGCCGGGTCAGTTCTGTTTTTCTTTCAGGTTTTCTTATAATTCCAACCCCCACCTCCCCCACCCCCAAACCCCGCCAAAACACCCAGCCCAGCCCACGTACTATAGGCCCAAACCCAAAAAACAAAAAAGAAAAGAAAAAGAAAAAGAAAAGGCCCGGATCGGGCCCCGACCGGCTGCGCCGGTCCCCAAAATCAAGTCCCGGATCCGCCCCCTTAAACCCTCCCGGGTCGGGCCTAGGCCTGGTACCAGTACTGGTACACCGGGCCGGGCCCGCACAGTGGCGGGCTGTTCCGGTTCCCAGGCCGGTCAGACCGGCCCCGGGCCAAGCCTACACCCGATACCCGGATGTAGTCTCAGTAGTCTCACTGAGCTTGATTGCCCTTCTTTCCTCTGGAATGGCAGCCCTACCGAGCTTTGGTATAACTGTGCAGTTAAACAGTGCAGTACATTTCAGAAAATCATTTGACTTTCTTCACGGTTGAATTTTTATCAGAAATTTGGTATGTGTAAACTAGACCTAATGAAAAGACGCTCAAAGAATTTCATCAAAAAATTCCACCGGGAACCGCCCCAAATGACGACGGCCGGACAGAGCCTACTATATAAGGGGTAATTTATACGGAGTAATTTTTAAGTTAGACCTTTAGCCTTTTATTTTTGTACTGCAAAAATAGACATGTTTCAAATTTTATATGATTTTTTCTGACTGTTTTATTTTCTCATCGCTATCTTCATTTTATTACATATATATATATATATATATATATATATATATATATATATATATATAGGGCTCTTCTCATCAGGCCGGCCTGACAGGCTGCCCCGTCCGGCCGAGCCCGTTTGGGCACCTTCCCGGTGGAATTTTTTGATGAAATTTTTTGAACATGTTCCTCATCAAGTCTAGTTTGTCCATACCAAATTTTAGCTCAAAATTCGATCAGGAAGGTCGTCAAATGATTTTTGCAAGTTAACTGGTCCGGAATATGTATTTTCCGGACCAGTTAACTTGCAAAAATCATTTTACGACCTTCCCGATCGAATTTTGAGCTGAAATTTGGTATGGACAAACTAGACTTGATGAGGAACATGCTCAAAAAATTTCATCAAAAAATTCCACCGGGAAGGTGCCCAAACGGGCTCGGCCGGACGGGGCAGCCCGTCAGGCCGACCTGACATGAAGTTTTCTCTCTCTCTCTCTCTATATATATATATATATATAATCAGCTATACTACATATACAATTATTGTATAAAACATTATTACTCTGTATCAAGATATAATTTCAGTTTTTGTCTAGGAGACCAAACATACTCCCTGGCCTGCTCATATAGTAAGAATGTTTTCTTTTGGACTGAAATTTGTTGGTCTGGTCTGGTAAGTGTCCGGTCTCTATGTTTTTTATAGCTACGGAAGTCTGGTCTGGTCTGGTCTGATCTGCACTGGTCTGATCTGGTCCGATCTGGTCTGGTCTAGTCCAAAAGAAAACATCCTAACATATCAATTCCGTGTAGATGTGGACAAATACGTTCACTTTAATAGAATCGGAATGTACCAAATCAAACTAAACAAAATTGAATTCAAATCACATGCACTTCAATTAAATTAGTTTAGTGATGTTTCTTTCGGATCTCTTCTTATATAAAAGGAAAAGAAGTATGAGACACAGATTTCCCGCCTAGAACTGTCAACCTCAGTTATTCATTTTTTTATTCGTCAAGAGAATAATACGTAGTAAAAAACATGTACTCCGTATTTCAAGTGTATGGGTATGTCTGCCACTAGATATTTATTGGAGAAGGCAATCCCATTGGCCAAAGATGGAGGCGTGCATAGTAAAAAATAATAATTGAGGCCTCCTATTGGGCGAAAGGGTGGCGGCTACTGCTCACAAAAACTGTGATTACATGCTGCTCTGCTGGCGTTGTATTGGTGGATAAGGCCAGTCAAACAGTGAATGGGATGGGTCATGCTATTCTTAGCAAGTACTGCCTCCGTTCCTTTTATATTGGGACAGAAGAGGGTGACACGAGTTTTTAAGAAAAGTGAGTTTGTGTGGTTGATATTAATTGATAAAGTAAGAATAAAGTAAAAATGATTTTGAGCCACACAAACTTTACCAAATATGGTACGTAGTATGTGACAATTTAAGTGGGACTTCCCGAAGAGGTAAAACGGGACAATATAAAAGGGACGGAGGGAGTACTACATAAATTTTCTACTATAAAAGCACCACTGCGGTAGGAAGTTTTTCACAACATTCAGCCTTTACGCTCTATTCGCAAATTCTACTTGGGCCATCAAGGCCAGGGTGACCCGAGTTTACCGTGAACCTCCCCATGATAGCTTCCCGACATCAATGGAGGTTATATTTCAAGTGGGGAGGTTGTGAACTTTATTTTCGTATTTTGGTTTGCTTTTCTTGCCGTTTCATTGTAATTGACTATTTTCCAAACGATAGGGCTCAAAGCTCCAAGCGCATATCCCGGATCGGTCGTTGTCAATTTTTTAACATGTTTAGGGAAGGTCGGATCTTTGCGGTGAAGGAGAGCAATACAAGGAGAGCAGGAACTACAAGGGAAATCGAACTTTTAGTGTTCTGAGAATGAACACAGACCCGAAGGTCCTATCCTCTACGTTTCTGAATCCAACACAGAGGTTTGTTTTTGCCCTTGCCAAATTGTTTTCCACATACTGGGAATATAATGTTTGACAATTTTTGTGGCAGCGAACAGGTTTAGGCATTATTTTATTTTATTTTAGGTTTAATTTTTAGATTTAACCCCATTCACATTGTGGGTCTGTGGATTGACACATGTTTTCATTTTTCAAGGTTGGCTCTTCGGAACTAATTAATTCGACCAGCCCTTTGCTGAGCAAAGACAAGAGAATTGCCATTGAAGTTGATGGGGAGAAACTGAAGAGAGGTCTGTTTGCTGAATTTTCCGGGACAATGCCAGCGAAGAAGATGAAGGGTACAAAGATCGAAGAGCCAAAAGCTTGAAAGTATTTTTGGGCTTTGATGTACTCCCTCCGTCCCTAAGGTTGGCCAAATTTCCTTTTTTGGATGTCCCAAAAAGATTGGTCATTTCCATTTAAAGTAAGAAATATGTGGTTAAAGTTAATTCTCTCTCCTCTACACAAATTTCAACCACACAATTTTTACTTTGTTAATCCACGTGAAAGTCAACTTTGGCCAACCTTTTCGGGACGGAGGGAGTATATGTTTAAGAATGTAGTCCTTATGGTATTTGAATAAATGGGTTGCATGGATGGGTATTAATTACAAGGCACGACTAACTCTATATGATAGTGTCTAGAGTTGGTATCTTCTGCCCTTTTTGGATTTTGAATTTTGGTTTCGGTTTTAGCACATCTCAACCTAAAGTGTGCTCTCTATGTAACCCAGGTAACCTAAGATTATACGTAGTAATAAAATAATGAATATTTTTTTTGCAATGATGTCATGGGTTCTATATTACATTACAATCTAAGAGTTTAGGCAAAATGTTATCATCAATTACATTGTTAAATGATGCCATCAACCGAGTCCCTGGCAAGGGTGGTTATTCAAACGTTTACTGATTCCAATATCCAACATTTCTAGAAAGATGGCCTGCGGTAACTTGCTCAATTTACATGACATCTATTCTAACTTCAATATCTACTTTATATAAAACGTATTTTATTTGTTATATGGCTCTTTGATGTACGATGGACCTGTGCACTATTGTTATTTAAGGTAGTTTTGTGGTAAATGCATTTTATTTTATTTTGGCCATTGTAATACTGAATACTACGTACTCCGTATATTTTAAGGACTGAATTGGAGGCAGAAATATGATAACAGTAAGGTGGACAAAATTAGTGAGGTCAGAAAACATACCTGGTCTATCTGCTTCGGCTGAATTCCTATATTTTACCTTCTCTAAATCCTAATTTTTAATTTATTGGGTATCAAACTTACAAATACCAATAATATTGTACTTTACAGATCAAAAGAAGGACAACACAAATATATATTGTTTCCCAAGGTCGAAAATACTGTCAGCTAATAAATTTTCAAGAAACTTTTCGACCGTGCATGAGTGCATCGCACGGGTGAATTACTAGTCTTAATAAATTGAACAAAATCAAAATAAAAAATAAAAAATCTGAACAAATTCTTCTTACTGAATAGTGAATACACGAAAAAACCGAGCCGAAACCTACGTGCCTCTAGTCTCACTGGGCTTGGCTTGATTACCCTGCTTTCCTCTGGAATGGCGGCCCTGCCGAGCTTTGGCCTCCGCCGTTTACCTTCACGGCCATGGCTACCCAGCCTCCGTTGCACAACAACCACAAGAAGGCCAGTCCCTTACTCTCTGCGTTCTATCTCCATAGTTTCTTCTCTCTCCCCACTCGAAGATACCGGAGAAATTCCTCAGTCTCCAATAAATATGACAACAGAAAAACCCAACGCCACTACTGCCACTAGCATCCATATTCATAAGGAGAAAAAACCCTTATTTCCTAAGCGAGGGCAGACCTTGGAGCTGGTTTGTGAATCTATAGCTTTTAAAGGGAAAGGCGTTTGCAAGGTCGCCGATACTGGCTTTGTGGTGATGTGCGATCGTGCACTTCCCGGAGAACGCTTCCTTGGCCGCGTCACTCGCAAAAAAGACAATTACGCTGAGGTTTAAATGTTTATATAATTGCTCGTATCCATTCTCTTTTTATCCATCCCTTTTGTTCTCTATTGGTTCAAACTAATCTAGACTCAGGAAAAAGTGATCTTTAAACCGAAAAATTGGAACTTTAGAAGTTTAGCAGTAGCCAGTAGGTGCTCTTAGCAGTTAGCTCTGTTAAATTGCTCCTCCCATGTTTAAGTTGAGGAACATAAGATAATTTATGACGTTATGTTGGTTGCAAGGATGATAGGTGAAGAAATTGAAGACAATAGCACCTCATTGGGACCAAGTGGAGGCGCCATGTGAATATGCTTCACACTGTGGAGGTTGCAAGACCCAGAATTTATCATACAGAGCTCAAGTCAGTGCAAAAGAGCAACAAGTTAAAGAGCTCGTCGTGCATGTAGGCAAGTTTTCAGATAAGAATCCAGAATTTGAGCATGTGATGCAACCCATTGTTCCATGTGATATCCAATTTGGGTATAGGAATAAGGTCTGTAATGGAATTTACTCTCTTATGGTCTATTTTGATGCTTAAGATATAGTTTTAGGTTTTGAAGTTTACCTTTCTTATTTGGTTTTCCCGTGAATAAACGCAAGAGTTGATGAAGAATACAACAACATAATAAATTAAGAAACACATTTTTTACTGTTAACTAATGTTATACAATTAATTGATACCATGAATTATAATGCCGCTTATGCCTACTTGTTGGGAAGATGAGACAAAATGGATTTGTGAGCTTTTCATTGTTGTCTTGTTGATGCTGTTTCACTCTCTAAGAGTCGAAGAGACGGTCTACTAAAATGAGACAAAATGGCTTTGTGATCTTTTCATTGTTGATGCTTTCTGACTCTGCAAAGTCTTGTTTGCAACATGTCCCATCTAAATGATTCTTGTATTATGCAAATGTTAGAAGTCGCTAAATTTTGATTGCAGACCTATCTGAATATTTTCTTTATCTTTCTGTAAATCCTCAAGAAATTTGATTGAAAAAGCAGAACTCAGAAGAAGAATTTATTAGACTAAGGTTCCTTGTTTTTTTGCAATTTTATACCCTTGTGATACAGATGGAGTTCTCCTTTGGATCAAAAGGATGGGTACCTGAGGAGCTGTTACACGAATGTAATGATGCTCAAGGCTATGCTCTTGGATTGCATGCTCCTGGATTTTTTGATAAGGTTTTGAACGTAAACAAATGCTTATTACAAAGTGACCCAGCTAACAAGGTATACTCTTTTCTTCTGATATTTACTTTCATTTGAAAAGAAACTTTATGCAAACGATTTTTAGTGACAAAATTGTGCATTAGTGCCACTTATGCTCAAAAGGATGCTCTACAGAATAGCTATTATGCGTGTTATGCTGTCTGACTTGGGGTATTTTGTGGTGAAGTATCAAATTCGTAAAAAGTGTTGCTGATAAAGATGAAATTGTTTAAATTGATGTGTAGCTAAACCAAGAAGAACAGAATTATGTATTCAGTTATAAGCGATAAAGTAGTAGTCCCAATTGAGTAGAGAAATGCGGAGACCGTGTGAGATGTGGATGCATCTATTAGAAGGCATGGAGGTTGATTTGAGTTTTCTTGCACTTAAAAATGTAGCAGTATACGGTGTAAGTACGAGTATCGTCTCCACAAGGACGGACAAAATGGAATTAAGAATTTGCTAAATTCAGCGATGAAAAAGAAATAAAATAAATGCAATGGTGCAAGATTGATTGATTGGAAAGTTAAATTGCAGGCAAACGAATAAAATAGCTTGGTTTCTTCTTAATTAACGACGAAGGGAACATGGATTGATTCCGGGGTAACCAGATTTCTGACATATCGGGCTTAATTACATGAAGTTAATTTAATTGAGCCCTAGCTAATCATTACTAAGTTCTTACCGCTCTCGCGACGTAGAGTACAATAATTACAGTTCGATTTGGTTTTGTAAACAACATACCCTCGGCGGATCTCTCGTGCAGAACTCATATGCCAGTATAAATTGAAAACTAGTCGAATTTGTCTTGGTGTTTTCAGTTTTCACTAATTTACCCATTTGATCGTGTATTTCAAATATTATCGTTGCCTCTATCATTTCTATATACTACATATTTATTTGTGATTTGTTGTTGGATTTTTGTTATTATATTCACCAGTAGGTGTATAATACTATAATAACACAAAAACAATTACAGGAAAGAAAACACGAGAACATGAAGACAAGAATTGAACTTCAATTGGGAAATCAGCTCTATACTAACATTGTCCAGGAGAGATACTAACTTGACAGCTCCAGGGTGTGGAATCTAGGCGGCTAGATGCCAACTCTGGGATGATTGTATCTACAACTTCAGGTTGTTAAAAATGACATGCATGATATGATGATGATGATATAATTAATTATAACAATACTGGTACAAATAGTACACACTTCAACACCAATCCTCAAGACAAAACATGTAGACAATAGACATGCTTCAAGCTTGCTAGATATTACCACATGTGTTCCTAAATAATTGTCGCTTTTCCAATGTTTTTTCTTCCTAGTAGTTACCACTTCAAATTCCCAAGACTGCATTTATTACCTTATTTTTAAAACACTACCCTTCTACAATCAATTAATATGGTGCAATTTTCTTCTTATACTCTGTCATTAGATAAGTACATTAAATATTAAATAAGGTTCTGACAGTTTACTTTAGTACCCTCTTTCATCAGTAAATTTCTGCAATTTCTTAATATAATATATGTGTGGATCAGTCCAAGGTGATCTGTTTAGGAACATGACTCTTTAGATCAAGTGTGATTAAATTTGACTTTACTTAGACTCAGGCTCTTGACTTTCTAAACTTTGAACTTGATCATAAAACTTTGAATTTTTACTGCAGACATGAACTTCTAACTTGAACTTTGATAAATTTGTTGCTCACTCTTACTGATGATACCAAAACAGTACTTGTGGCTGATGAAAGTTGAAAAATCCAAAAAAGATGACAGTGTATTTTTTGACTAGATTTATCGGGTTGTGAGAAATGCAGGGCACATAAACACAGTGCTGATACCATGTTTAATTTTAGCTGTCGAATAGGTAGGCGAGTGGTGAATAACACCACCGTCAGTTAGGTGGAGTCAAATACAAGAGAAATCAAGATAGGCATCAAATTTGAACTCTGATTAGTCTTCATATTTCCTACATAAGGTAAATTCAATGAGCTCTATAATATATAGATCTCATGTGAGACAAACTGGACAGCTCTAGAATGCGGAGTTTAGATGGCTAATGTCAACCCTAGCGTGACTTGACTGTTTCTGGTCAAGTATAGGATAGCAATAGTGACAGGCTGACAGCCATAGTATTACACTAATGCTACAAATTATATGCTTGAACAAATTCCTAAGGAACAAAAGGAATCTATGAAGTAACTGTCCCACTGTATCTCAATCTTCACATTTCCCATTATTTTTCATTTAATTACTCTTCACTTTGGGTGATGGGTGTCCTAGCACTGCTTTCTTCATCAAGACTTTAACCTCATAATTTCCTTACTGCTTAGGTGACATAGTATCTGGTTTTATAAGTGAGAGCTGTGAAGCTATTTCATATATGAACCTATGAGTCTATTCATGATACAGGTTCTTGCAACCATTCAAGAATATTGGAGGGATCCAAAGTTTGACCTTTCACCTTACGATGTTCGCTCTCATAATGGATTTCTGAAGCATCTAATGCTTAGAAGTGGCAGGTGCCTCTATTTTTATGATTTTTTCCAGCTTATGTCAGTTGTGTGACATTGATGCTAAAACCTTTTGGCATTCTCAGGGTTAGTTGGCTTATATAGCTCAGCATTAATACAAGGAACCTTATTTTCTTATTCTATTTGTGGGATGAAAACTTGTAACTAGGCTCTACATGGCAAAAAGAACCGGTTACTAATCTGTTTTATATACAAAATAACATAGGTCTTCATCATTTGCTTTCATTTTGTTAAGCTGTGTAGGACATTTTGTACAATTGATGTATATAGATATTTGAATGTTAGAGCCACTCTCCGATCTGACATTGATTATATAAATTTGGCTTCAGAAATTGTGAAACCGGTGTTCCTGAGCTTATGGTTAATTTTGTGACTTCATCCTATGATCCGGAGATACTGAAACCCATTGTAGAGAAAATAACAACTATCCCTGAAGTGGTAAGCTGTCTTGAAACAGTAACTGTATACGTTTTTTGTGCTGTAATGTAAGGAAACAGGTATCCAGATTTGGAAAGTTAATGTGTTACAAATTACTTTTCTATATCACTCCATCTATTCTGAAAAACTGTTGCTTTGGAGAGGAACAAAGTTTGTTCACAAAAGGTGTAACTTGCGAGTATCTAGAGAACATATGTTGCTCATTTCCACGATTTTCTTCTCCTTCCACTATAAATCTTCATATTATTTTGCAGATCTTTATGCATTGCCGAGGGGTACTCTGGTCAAGTTGTAGTATTTTTTAAATTTAATTTAAAAATATTGTGATGATAGTGTGTTTAAAATGTTTAAACAACAATCAAAACAGAGATAGCAGCTTTCCTTTCAGTAAGATGTGTATGTAGGCAATGCTAGAGAAAAAAATATGGTTTGCCATTAATAGGTTGTTTCATTAAGAGTTTGCTCTGTTGATGTCAAACAGGTAAGCATAATTAATAATGTGAATACATCTATAGGAAACACGTCTATCGGGGAAAAAGAATACACACTGTATGGCAAATCTTCTATCTCAGAGATTTTAAGAGGGCTTAATTTTCAGATTTCGGCAAATTCTTTCTTCCAGACAAACACACACCAGGTGAAGATGTGCAAACACTAGAACTTTTCTTTTTTGGAGCTATGACCTTAATGTATGGTTATATAAGGCATAACTCTCCTTTCAGGCAGAGATTCTTTACAAACTAATTGAGGATTGTGCCTCTCTGAAGGGAGATGGTTCAGAAATTGTTCTTGACCTTTTCTGTGGAACCGGTACCATTGGCCTTACACTAGCCAGAAAGTAAATTTTCTGTTGTTTCAACTGGCATGGTGATGTTTCACTGACTCCACCACATTGACAAATCTTTCTATTCTGATAGAGTGCGGCATGTTTATGGTTATGAAGTAGTAGCTCAAGCAATCTCAGATGCAAATCAGAATGCTCAGCTCAACGGAATCTGCAATGCGACATTCATCCAAGGAGATCTTAATAAGATTGATGAAAACTTTGGCAGCAATTTTCCCAAGCCTGACATTGTCATCACAGGTCTTTATTGATTTCTCTGGGTGGAGATCTATCTTTCATATATTATTGCTCTAACTTTAAAGAGAATTTATACCAATACCACTAAAATTAAACAATGTAAGAAGCACGAGTAGAGTAATGAGGGATAAAATCTTCTGGAAAATTGTGCTATGGGACAGGGAAAATTGCAGTTTTGAAGTTGCCCTCTTTGCTAGAAAAAATGTGATGTGAAAAAAAAAATTAAGATCTGATCTGATCATGATCTCCTAGGCTGGAATGTTTCTAGTTAGGATTTTCTCTGGTCTGAATGTTCCTGAGTTTCTGGTCTAATTTGGTCTGATCAAATCTGAATATTACAGTCTCAATGAACTTTGTGTTTCGCTATACATTGGCCAATACATTTTTGTCATCTTTTTAGTATCAAGGTTTTATCATATTTAAAATAGTCTTTGCGCTTCATTAGAACATTTAGTGTAGTTTCTTTTTTTTTTTAAATTTTAAATATTACATTAATACTTTTTTTATTACCCAGTGGCTAACCATCCAAAGATGGGGCAAGAGCCAGGGAACACTTTACCTATATATTGATAAAGTAAGATACATAGTAGTAGGGCATGAGAGTATGAGACCGAGCCTACCAAAAAACGACTAGACTAAATAAGAATAACCAATAGCATCAAATTTCAAAATGCCTACAAAATGGTTAAAATACTTTTGAGATTTGTTGGTGCAAATCTTATATTAATACTAATTTAAATATCATCAGGGAGAAATTAATTTAAATCAGTCAACTACGTAAACCGAAACATGCAGTGGGATGAGGGAGTATTCTGTATCTCGTCATATTTTCTTGTTTGAAATATAATGTCTAGTCTAATCTGATTTAAAACTTTAAACATTCCTAGTCTTGTTTAGTTTCTGAACTGAATAAAGTACAATTAAGTAATAAACAGAACTACAGCTTATTCCCATAAATCACTTTGTTTTGATGTCTCTAGAATTATACCAAACAGTGCAAGTCATACTGATAGACCAAACAAAAGTATGAATGGGAACATGATAAACTAAAAAGAAAACAATGTAAAAAAAACAGGAATGTAGACAAAACATTACTTGCTTTTAAATGCTGAAATTATGAGGTGTATCATGCATGTCCTGATTCCAATGGTCGGATACGAGTATACGACTTTGTACTTTTCCATAACAATCATCTGTATGCAATACTAAGGTGTGGAATCCTTTCCGATGTATAAAAAAATACAAAAATGCTAAAGGTGCCCCATTTTTACCCCCACCTATTGTGTGGCCACAAATGGGGCAACACATTTAAGTGGTGCAACACTTTTATGTGTGACCTCATTTGGACCACACAAGGTGTTGGGTAAAAATGGGGTACCCCAAAATGGGGGTACCTATATAGCATTACTCAAAAAAATACCAAGGTGTGGAAGATTTGCTGACAGTGGTTTATTGTGTTACACCTTGTAGATCCAAATCGTCCAGGAATGCACATGAAACTGATCAAGTTTCTGCTTAAGTTAAAAGCTTCACGCATCATCTATGTATCTTGTAACCCGGCCACTTGTGTTCGTGACCTTAATTACCTCTGTTTTGGAGTGGTAAGTATTTCCTGTTCTCTCTCTTTCTCCCTTGATGACTTGATTCATTTGTTTCTGAAGCTTTTCACACATGCTTCAATTACAGCCAGAGAGAAATATAAATGGATGTTACAAGCTTAGCAAGTTGCAACCAGTGGACATGTTCCCACATACTCCTCATATTGAATGTGTTTGCATGTTGGAGCTTCTCTGATGTAATCAGTGGGCCGCAGTGGCAACAACCAAGGGATAAAGTCGTCTGACCCATCGCCATCCAGTCATACTTGCGTTTAGGGTGAGGAAAGGCCACAACTAATGAGGCAAATCGGCATAGGAGCTACTTGACATAGGGATAATGAGATTACTCCTCCAAAAGTTCTATATAACAAGGGATGTGCCCATGATGTCTTGTGACTTGGTATGTGATGTATTGCGGTCATGGAGTACATGAGTGGCTGTTAGTGGGCTCAATAGCCACATACTGGGCTTAATTCATCACATACTACTTCAAGTTTGTTTTGTTATTGAAATTATTGAAATATAATCGGTTGTTTTGGTTTTGGTCCATACTGACACCGATCCAAATTCATGAACGGGTTCGGTTTATCCAACTCTAGGAATGAGGGCATTGGGATGTGCCTGTTTACCAGCTGGGCAATCTGTTACAGTTCTTGTTAGTTCTCAACCTGGAAATCTTAATTATAGCCTTGCCTATCCAGCCATCCAGGATATAATGATCTCCTATTTTAGACTTCCCTCAAATGGTTAATGTACCTTCCTGATTTTTGGTTAACAGAAACATATCAATTTTTCTATTACTTTGTCTTGTCTTGCTTTCTAGCTCTGATTTTTTTTTTCTTCCAAAATAAAACTCTGAATTTTTTTATTCTCATATTATTGTTTGATCATCCCGGAGTCCCGGACGAGGTGAACCCAACTGTGTGTAAGACAGTAAGAGTATACTTAAAAAGCTTTTTAAAACATTTGATCCATGAGACTAAAAACAATTCAAATTTTGACTACGGATACGCAAATCAAGTCTATTTTTGTTGCAAACTAAAACTTTAAATGTTTGATTACAAACGGGTTTTGACCTTAAGTTTTTCATAACTAAATTTATACAAAAATCACATTTAGATGTTTTTCTAAATGAAAAATTCACACCATTAATCCCACCTATTGAGTTTCTTCTATCATTAATCCCAAATATGAGTAATTCTAAATTAATCTAATCTACAAAGTGTCTTATTAAAATGACCTGGTAACCTGAATTAATCAGGTCATCAGGACACCCAAATCACATGTCTTATTCTCATTGGCCTTGTACATTTCTAAGCTGTTTTTTGTTGTTTTTTCTTTTTTTCTTCTAAGCCCCCTCCTCAGCTTGTCTCTTCTCGCACACACCCCCTCCTTTTTTTCCTCCGTCTGCTCAGCTCCTCTCCACCTTCTTAGATGTTCATGAATTTTTAATCTCCCAATGTCGTCGTCAGTCTGTCCATTTCATCCCAGATGGCGTGATCTCCGTGATGAACAACAATGTCAAATTTGAGTTTGGTTTGACCAAATTAACTTTTTCACATCTGAAATTGAAAGAAAATAGATCAAATTTGAGCACAATCGAAAACCTAAATCAAACAAAATTAAATTGAAGGTGGGAAGGAGATAATCATCTGCGATCGAGGGACGACGTCATAACAAAAAAAATAGGGGGAGAATAATCCATGGCTAGGGCAAACTTGGATACAGAAACCATGGCTACACCTCAAACCTTTCAAACAGCTCTTCTTCAGTGTGATGCTCGTCAATTGCACCTAGTGCTGGCCTCGGTTCGGGCCACCCGGCCCGGCCCGATGCTTCCGGCCCCAAACCCGTCTAAGGCCCGCTTGGCTATGCAAAGCGGGGGGGGGGGGGGGGGGGGGGGGGCTCGGGTCAGTGAAAAGGAGGCCCGGCCCAACCGGGCCCGGTTCGGGCTAAATTGTTTTTTTTTTCATTTTTTTGGGTTCCACCGTGTTGGGCTTGATGTTTAGGAGGGGTTTGGGGGTGGGAAGGGGGGGGGGGGGTCAGGGATACGTCGGAAAGAAAAAAAATAACCAAACCCGAGGCCCAGACCCAGACCCAGACCAGACCCGGTGGCTACCCGGGCCGGTCCCGGGTCCACCTATTCTGAACCGCCAGCCCGCCCGGGCCTGGGCACGACCCGGACCCGGCTCGGCCCGAGTCCAAGACTAATTGCACCAACATGGAATAAAGCAGAAGAAAGGAGAAAAGAAGGGGGGGGGGGGATGACGGGAAATGGGGAAGATGATAGAAAATAAAAAACCTCATGCATTTACTTTTTTTTTTCCTTTTTTTTATTTGTTTACCTGATTAGTAAGTAGCAGGTCATGTTGGATCAATATGAGAGGATTACTCATGAATTTGAGATTATTCTAGAATTACACATGTTTGAGATTAATATGAGAAAACGGGTGATAGTTGAGATTATTTATATGAATTTTTCCTTTTCTAAATCACAATATTTGTCGTTTTATTTACTATTTTAAATATCACTTTAATTTGGATGACTAAACTAATATTATAAGCTATAATGGTTAATTTTATAATTACAATATTTTTCCTCTTATATAAATATACTAGTTTGTGTATCTATGCAATGCACAGTAAGATATGTACTTTAGGGATAATGAATGTATTGTATATCAATTTATCAGTCCAAGTTTAATAGAGATCTCAATTAACTATAGAAATAGCTGTCAAAGTGAGCCGAAATCCATAGGATCAACCTTTCTCATGGTGGGTTATAATTTTAAGTTTTAACCAAATTAACTAACTGGTTCGTGGGTCAAAATGCTTGATTTTTCAAGATCTATTGTCATGTATATTTTTTACATTGATCCGTGGGGTGGCTTTAAAACCTATAGATTAGAAGATACTCCGTATGTGATATGAATGTAAAATCCTAACACACCATTAGACAGTTAGGCAGATCCAAGTCATAAAACGTAGGCTAAAGGGTCAAATAGGTACATGAACTAACTTAAAGTGTTCAATTAGCCCCTTATATAGGAGGTTCTGTCCGGCCGTCGCCAATTGAGGCGGTTCCCGGTGGAATTTTTTGATGAATTTTTTTGAGAATCTTCTTCAATAAGTCTAGTTTACCCATATCAAATTTCATTCAAAAATTCAACCGGGAAGGCAGTCAAATGATTTTTTGAAGATAACTGTGCAGTTAAACAGCACAATACATTTCGGAAAATCATTTGACTGCCTTCTCGATTTAATTTTTAGCTGAAATTTGGTATGGGTAAATTAGACTTAAAATTCATGCTAAAAAAATTCATCAAAAAATTCCACCGGGAACCGCCCCAATATGCGATGGCTGGGCTGAACCTCCTATATAAGGGGCTAATTGAACACTTTAAAGGTTGGTTTGCAAGTGCTTCTAAAAAAGCACTTCTCAGCTTTTGGCTTTAAAAAAACACTTATTTTCCCAAACACTACAACTTTTATTTTTCTTGGCTTCCGCGTCAAAAGTGCTTTTACCTTTTCTATTACACAAAAAGCACTTATTTTACCAAACACTACCCACTTTTACTTTTCAAAATCACTTTTTTTTCAAACACTATCAACTTTTATTTAATCACTTCTCTCCATTTCATTAAAAAAAACACTTTTTTAAAAGCAGAAGCTGTTGCAAACAGACCCTAAGTTAGTTCATATACCTATTTGACCCTTTAGCTAAAAAGTACAACCCACCACAAATTTGGTAAGATTAGAGAGTGTTGACTCGTTTGATAACTTGAAGTATAAATTGCGTGGGAGATATATATGAATATGAAAGAGAAGAGTGAATCTACCTTTAGATATTAATGATAGATTTGTGAATTAATAAATAGATAAGTAATACGGAATACCACATTCATCCCATTCACATCAGAAGATGTGCGGTTTAAAAAAAAGATGTTATATGATTCATGTTTTATTGAAAAAGTAGGGATGCTATAAGACCGATTTAGAGCTACACAGATATTACAATATTTGGAGTTACACATATTTAGTGAGCGGACAAAAAAAGAAATGTGTAAGAAGATTAATGAGACAAAGAGAATAGTAATTGTCATATTTTGGAAAGATATAAGAAATAATTTATAAAAAATCCAAGTAAGAGAGCATTCAAAAGAGTATGTCATATAACAAGTAGAGAGAAATATTTTGTATTTTAAGAGGCTAAAATTATTTATTTTTATTTTTGAGAATTTGTAATTTTTGTTCTATCGCCAAGTGCAAATTTTTTACCTAACTTTATACATAATATTGTGATGCTTAAATATCCACATATATAATACATATGTATAATACGCCTGGTTTTCGTTCAAATGAGAAAACAATTCAAGGAGAGAAATAAGAATAATTATCAACCGTTAGATTGATCAAACGTTGGGGAGGATCATGGAGAGATTACTTGGGAAAATTTGAGTCTGGTTGTTGGGGAGTTAAATCAACTCCGGTTTTGGCCCGATTCGGTTCAAAATTCATAATATTCTTGCCTGGATCAGTTGGACCGGAATTAAAATATATCTTATATGTGTGTGTGTTTTTTATATTATATACAGATATACTCCGTATATATATATATATATATATATATATATATATATATATATATATATATAGAAAAGATCAGGTCCAGCCCTCCCCGGTCCAGCCGCCGTCCGAACTCCGCCGTTTGGGGTGGTTCCCGGTGGAATTTTTTGATAAAATTTTTTGAGCATGTTCTTCATCAAGTCTAGTTTGTCCATACCAAATTTCAGCTCAAAATTCGACCGGGAAGGCATTCAAATCATTTTTTGAAGTTGACTGCATTTTTATATGTATATTTTGGCGCAGTCAACTTCAAAAAATGATTTGAATGCCTTCCCGGTCGAATTTTGAGCTGAAATTTGCTATGGACAAACTAGACTTGATGAAGAACATGCTCAAAAAATTTCATCAAAACATTCCATCGGGAACCACCCCAAACAGTAAAGTTCGGACGGCACTTCCCGTCCCTCCGGATGGACCTGATCATTCCTCTATATATATATATATATATATATATATATATGTGTTATATATGTTGTGTGCAGAGAAAAGTATATTAATTAAAGGGAAAAGTGCAAAAAATGTACACGTGGCCGGACCCATTTTCATATAGGCGCATGTGGTTGAGCCCGAGACTAGCATTGACCCGCGAGTCCAGGTCTAGGACTTGAACCCATGAGTTTTGACACACGATCTAAACCAACATGCCTTAGTCCGAGTTCAGTGTTTCACTAGGCCAACCTGACCAGTAGCCCTAGAAAAGGGAGCAAGCCTATCAGGGATCCGTCGATCAACCTGAAAGGGAGCCGATGTACTTGCCCAATAGGGAGCCGCCTACCAGCCTGGCAGGGAGTCAACCTACCAACTCAGTAAGGAGAGAGCTCAAATGACTGGCCTACAAATTAAACCCAAAAGAGGAACGATCAAGATAACTGTTGTAAAAGTTAATACCACACTTAATACCAAGTTAATGTCATAGGAGGTGTTTACTTCGCTGCTAAAGTCACAGTTATACACGACAGATGAAGTAAACAATTAACCTGCTTAAAAAGCTGTTTACTAACCGAAAGAGGTGATTAAAGTGCCGCTTACTAAGCATACCACTCTCATGTATTAATTAAGCGGCACTTTAAACTTTTTCAATTTTTTGAATTTACCCTTGCTCCTTTACGCCCACCCCTACCCCTACTATACCTTACCCCGACCCCACCCCTACCTTACCCCCAACCATACTCCTTACCCCACCCAT